GCTGTCGAATATTTTTATTATTACTTAGGGGCGAAGCATTTCACTCTAATTACAGACCACGCCGCCCTAAAATGGTTACATACCTCTGAACCAAAAGGGAAGAGAGCTCGGTAGATTCTAAGGCTACAACCATATGATTATAGGATTGTCCACAGAGCAGGATAAAAACATTCTAATGTAGACGCGTTATCTAGAATGTATTAGTTAAAAAAAAAAAAAAAAAAAAAAAAAAGGATAATTCTTAATACTTAAGAGTTTAGTTTTCTACAGAGAGTGGCCAGGTTGGTGGAAGGCACTGCCAGGGGAGTGTTGAAACGTCACAGACTGATGCAAAAAGGCCCGCATCGAGAAGTCTACGACATTGCAAATATCCAGGGTGTATTCATGTTCATATTGGTCTAGGGATGGAAAAATAGATAAGTAAGATTAAGAATCATTCTGAATAAAAATTATCTTTAAAAAAAAAAAAAAAAACCATAAAGAATAATAGATAATAAGAAAGAAATATACGGAAAATTTTAAAAACAGAATCAATTTCAAACCAAGAATTAAAAAAATTAATAATATAGTTATCCAAATATTCCAAGCTGAAATCCGACGTTAAAAGTAATCTGGTCCAGGTAGTCGGTGTCCTGGCATATTTCAAGATGGACTCATTAAGATATCAATTGCTGAAAACATACCTACAAGAGCATACTTTACCAAAGAAATTAACTCCGCAGGAACGACGAAGCATCCAAGCGCAGAGCCAATTTTTTGTCGTAAAAAATGGTTTAATCTATAAAAAAGATAAACACCAAATTAATCACCTTTTGAGAGTAATTCAAAAATATGAAATTGAACCAATTTTATTTCTGGTTCATACTCACCCGTTGGGAGGACACTTAGGAATAGAAATAATGTTCAATAAAATCTGTAATAAGTATTACTGGCCCCAAATGTATATCGATATTCGGAGGTTCGTCTGTATCTGCGATGCATGTCAAAGAAGAGGAAAGAGTTTGATAAAACCTCCGTTATACCCAATTCCGGTAGAAGCTCCATTCTACAAAATAGGGATAGACATAGTTGGAAAATTACCTGTAACTCCAAAGGGTAATAGGTATATTGTAGTTGCTACAGACTACATGACAAAATGACCCGAAGCCAGAGCAATTAAAAATGCGAATACTCAGGAAGTGGCTGACTTTATATACGAAGACATCGTTTGTTGCCACGGGTGTTCGCAATACTTACTTTCTGATAGAGGGACTCATTTCTGTAATGCCCTAATGATGAATTTTTAAAGAAATTCACTATTAATCACCATTACTCCACTCCCTATCATCTACAAACAAATGGATTAGTGGAAGGATTCAATAAGACATTGTGTGAATCTATATCCAAATTAGTCACAAACGTCAAAGAATGGGACTTACTTATACCTTCAGTACTCTTCGCCTATAGAACCGCCAAGCAAAATACGATGAAAATAACTTCATTCATTTTGATATATGGAAGGGAAGCCCGATTTCCAATCCATCCTGACGAAAATGAAGAATTATTAGAAGGAACTTTTTTTCAAAGGCTCTTCGAATTAATAGAAGTATTACCGACCGTAAGAAGTAACGCCATCCAGAGAGTCAAAAAAGCCCAAGAAATTATGAAAAGAAAACATGTTCATGGGTTACCACCTATACAAGATTTGAAGAAAGGAGAGTTGGTATTAGTATACAAAACCTCTCAACAATATTCGAAAAGTTATAAACTCCACCCGAAGTGGAAAGGGCCTTTCGTCGTTTATAAAGTGCTTCAAAAAGGAGTATATAAGTTACGTACCATAGAAGGGAAGATAATAAAGACACCTATAAATAGAAAGTTGATAAAACAATACTATTCTAGATAAGGAAAATTTATAAGGGTTAAGAGCGAAAAAGGACATGAATTAAATTAAATTTACCATTTTATAGTAACAATACGCTATAACGCCACTATGATCATCATAAACAAAATAAACTTTAATACTTACTGAAATTTGTAAACAGTGGAGACTATTCAATTTTTTTTATATAATAAATTCAAAGCCGCAATTTACTATTCAAAATCAAATGACTTTAAAATTTGGGAGAATAGATACTTGGTCGACAAAAACTGGTGAATCAAGCACCATTTTATACATGAGAAGATTCCAAGGCGCAAACTTCAAGTAGTAACAGGAAGACTTTATATACTAGTCGATTTATACTGGGCAGCACATGGTCTCAAGGACAAATGTATTCTATAAAATAGGAAAGATTTGAGTTAAGAGGCTCTGTGTTCATCAACATCCATACATTGCAGGAAAGCACAAAAAGAAGAAAGATTCGAATAAAACAAATGTGTATATTATAACTGATATAGTATGAATAAAGGTTGGGCGAAGCGATAAAGCGTCAAATATTTATAGTTAAAAAGGATTTTAAATTACTGACTCAATTTTAAGATATGATCCTAGAAGAATCATATAAAACAGGGAAGTAGTATATAAAAGGTTATACTTTAGTTTTGTTAAAAAAAAAAAAAAATTTTTTTTCATATAAGTTTATTTTTATTGCCAGACAAAGCAAAATTATATTATTTACCAATACTTTTATACTCCTTGGATCGGTTCATATATACTAATGCGATTGTATTACTATCTTACAAATAACAAAATGTGTACATGCATAGCGTCAAGAATTACAAAATTGGCCAAAATATTCAGACAAGACAAGAAAATTTCGAAATACGTTATTAAATGGGAAATTAAGCGAATTGGGAATCCAATTCAGGAGAAATTGTTCGAACTATTACGATGTAACTAATGAATTATATTATATACTCACCACGTATTTCAAGTTAAAAGGAAATGGAGCAAGGTTTAAACAAAATATTATAATGGTTGACAATAAGCTCTAAGTTCCTACTCAGTCATTGCCGATACAAAAGACAAGAGCAACTATTTTCATTAGAAACCAACTTCGCAAATTACTTTATAAAAAAAAAAAAAACAATTGAAGACATAAGAGAATCCATTCGGCATCGATTCAAACCCCTATCCGTTACAATTATATGGATTTCTAAGCCAATATTACTGTTCCAAACTGTAACTTCAATTATGAAGTGAAGGGAATAGTCCAGCATGACGTCGGTACTATGAAAAGTTCGTCTGGTGCTAGACAATCGAGCCTTTGAACCCAAGATTTTTTTGGCTTGAAAAATAAAAAAATGAGGAGATCAAGAATAAAATTATGAAAGAAATCGTAATTACAAATTATATACATTATTATTATTTAAGCTATATTAAGATATTATACTACTAACTAATTTTATTACGAGTAATTATTTATTTTTATACAAGATTTTATATTATTTACAAAAAAAGCTAAGAGAATTTATTTACTTATTTTATAATATACATAATGAGATTAAAACTAACATATTGAAACTAACAGAAATCTTCTTCATTCAAAAGTTTCTCAAGAGCTTCATAATAAGCCCTTGCCTCTATTTGACTATAATCTGTTTCATTTTTTTCGAACCAAGGGACCTCAGATTTACTAATTCCTTCTACTTCTTTAATATTCATTTGTATTTCCTCTTTTACTTCCTCCATACTATTAGAATCTGCATCTTATTCATCTTCTCATTCTCTATAGGCAATTTCATTTAAATATTCAATATTATCTTCTTCATTTTCTTCTGTTTCAACTTCAATCAATCTTTCTTCTATCTCTATCACATAATCATCCCAACCAATTGTTCGCATGCTATCTTTATTGATAGTACTATTTTTTTCTTTTTCGTTTTGATTTTCTTTAGTAGGATCAATTTGTTGTTCTTCCCAATTTTGATTATTGTCTAAAGCTTCTCCCCAGCTATGTTCGCTTTCTTCATACATTTCACATTTTTTTCGAAGTTGTTTATTTTCTCCTTCCACATTTTCAATCCACCAATCTCTCCTAAATTCTTAAGTTAATATTTTAGTTA